TATATTAAATTTGTATATATCCAAGACTGATGATAAAATTGCTAATTTAAAAACACTCGCAATTTTACAATCAGTTTTAACCATATACATTTCTACTCGTTTGGGTCTCAAAACCGATTCCATCGAAATTTAATCTACTCTGCTGTAAAATGCATTTGAGACACACACAAAAAAAAATTACTTATAATTGTAAATTCGATTAGAAGCTTTATATATTCAAAAATTTGATACTTGTTTATTGTTTCTTTTATCATATTAAGTTTAATAGAAGGTTACATTGATTTAATATTCAATCTGATCATACTATGCGATGGGTTTACCTTTCTTTTAATAATCTGTTAATTAATACATTAGTATTAGTGATGCTATAACCTTGTAAAAAGTTTTTAAAAATAGTTCTAGATTATACAACATAGAATATCGAAAATCTACATAGATCGACGTTTTCTCTCCACTTTATGTGTTTTAATCTTATGTTTTTATCCTACTAAAATCCAATAAAATCCAAAATTTCCTGTTTCTCTTGTTGTTCTTGATATGCGACTCATAAGTTCACGTTAGATCATTCAAATTAAATTGAATTAAAGAGACTTTTCACTCTGCATAAGCAGCTTATTCTTACCTTTGACTTACATCTTCCTTATATAATAAACGTTGTCCATAATATATGTTAGCGTCTATAGTTTAAGTTGTATATGGTCAATTTATCATTGGTTGTCTACTTGGACACGACTTATTATTTAAACCTTATACTGGTTTTTTTTATATTGACACAAAGATAAGATCTTAATCAGAAAAACAAAATTTGTTTATTATATCACCTGTAGTAATTTTTCCTGTATAAGGTCCTAATAATAAGTTGTGTCCAAGTAGACAATCAATGATAAATCAAAATTCAGGACTATAAGGCAACTCTATTTATATATGGTCAACATCTCGAGAGAAATGGAAAAAGATGACAGTATTAAAAAAACACTTGACAAGAATTTTACTTTATTTCGAATGTCGGGTATTGCGCATTCGTTTGCTTACGTTTTACTTTTCCGATTGTTTTGTATACACAATAAGAGAAGGAATTAGAATATTGACAAATTTGGCCCTCTTTGCTTTTTGCAAATTTCCACATTTTGAGGTTGTTTGATTCCAAAGAAAAGTAAAAAAAAACGGTGGAAAATTCTGTGAACACGTTTTTATATGTGTGTATGTGTTGGCATCTATTTCGCTTAAAATCTCAGGATCAGTAACGATTAAATAACAAAATTTAGCATGGTGATTTGTACTTGAGACGCATTGATATTATTAAATTTTGATGATTAAAGGTCGACAGGGTTGGGAGATAGATGGGGTTATATATCTCGAGAGGAATAGAATATAATGAAGATTTTATTCGTTATTAACATTTTATAAAGTGTTAACGACGTTTTATAAAACGCATTCTTACCCTTAGAGTTAAGATTTTGGCATTTTATAATAATTCAAAGTATAAAAAGTATTTTAGAAGAAAATTTCACAACAGATGGCGTCACACATAATTTATTTATTTTGCTTAATAATATGAAACTTTATTTTTAAACAAAAACTCGACAGTCAAGAATGTTACGCAACTGTCGTTGTGGACTTTTTACTGCATGAAAGTTTTCCTCGTTTGAAGTATTTTGTCTTTATATAACTATACTTCTTTACGCTCACTTCATTGCTTAAATGTTTAAGATTTGTCATATATCAATGACAAGGCTTTTAAATTGTAGTGTTGTAAATTATGTTATTAACAAAATAATTCCTTAAATTTCATAATACGGTATTGCGGTATGTATTACGTCAGACACAACAATTCAATCACCTCTTTAGCCTAATGTGACCGACACAATGTACTCAGGGCCGGCCATCGGGGGTGTGCGGCGGATGCTATGCACCGGGGCCCCGCGATTGAGGGGGCCCCAACATTATCGCGTTAAGAAATTAAAATAATACTGTGGCCGTCGGCCATATAAAATTATATGTATATTTGTATATAGTCGTAGTTTTAATGTTTATTTTATAATTTCTTCTATCTCTTTTTGTCTGTCTTATTTCTGGAACTTTCTGGTGACCGTTATTGTCTCTGGGTAGGATTAGCCGTTCTAAGAATCAAAGACAACTGTTATAACTGATCTGTTGTAACTTGATCTAAGTGTCAGGTCAAAGGTAGAAATTCCTACATACTTTTCGAATGTCTGAGGGAGTTCTTGTGTAGTCGTCACCCCAGGTCAGTTGTATCCGAGAGTGAATAAAATCAGATTTTTCTGATATTTCCCATAAGCAACAAACTTCAATTATTATTAGGTATGTAAATTTTGAAGAGAAAAGATTAATTGTAAATGAGTCATTTATAGGGTTTATTGAAGCAACTGATGTGACTGGAGAAGGACTAGCAAAAAGTCTATTGAAAACATTAAGTGAGCTTGATTTAGATAT